GCTGGGCGATATGGGCAAAAATTCACATCTCTGTATTTTTTGGCCAATTTGCGATACACGGTATATATCTCGGTATTTTCGTTTTTGGATAAAAAAAAATCTGTGTTATATATTTTTCACTTACCACCCAATGTTGTCCAACAAAACAATAGATATTAAAGGCTATGAAAACAAATAAAGTGAACGTAACCATGTAAGCCTTTATATTATGTGCAAAAAAGGGTTTAAAATCACATTTCATTATATCATTGTAACACTGCAATCTAAAAACTAAAATAAGGCTTTTAAAGCAGAAGTTAAATTCACTAAACTACACATGAAAATAAATAAGAACAAAAGCGCAGAGTTGTGTTGTTAGGCTATTTTGATTATTCCATTACAGTCACGTTACAGTCAGTGCTATCATAAAAATAGACTTCTAGGTTTAAAATTCTACATGTCACATTTATTGTCCAACTACAAATCTGTCTAATCAGCCTTTCTGTCAGAGCATATGACGGGCCGAGCCGCTTAAACTAATATGCAAAACAAAACTACAAACTATGTCTTACCAGTTTTTAAAGGCCTTAATATGAAGCTTGTCACATGTTTAGAACAAACTGGATTATGCACTTTCTCCGCTATATTTTCAGATGCGCTCGTATCAAACTACTGTATATCGATATAAACGGTATTGCCTCATATCGAATCGCTTATAAAGAAAATATCGATATATCGTACAAACTCGATATACCGCCCAGCCCTAACACAAACTCACCTTCGCTCTCGGACAGATCTGGGACCAGCCGGAAGGTGTCTCTGATGGCGGGAATGACCTGATCGTACATGTGCAGGACTTCCAGACAGTGTTCGGAAAAAGACGAGTCCTTCAACAGCAGCCAGTGCAGTACCATCAGAGCTTCTCGCAGTACCTGCAATCCAGGACTCGTCCAGCTCCGATGACCCACCGTTTGACTTCCTCTGCCTTTTGTTTTCAGCCATTGTCTGTGTAAAACCACAACGACCGTCCGCACCACCTGAGGAGGAATTAAAATGTATTGTGTGGTCAGTACCAGACATATCAGCAGCTATTTAGTGTCATTTGTTTTGAACACCCCTATAAACAATCATAATTTCCCATTGTGCTTCTATAGACATTTTGTCGTCTTATTTGCAAAAAACTAATTATATTCTTGGGTGGTTTTGCTTCAAAACTAACAGATAGTGAGGGTAAAAAGTGTTTTCTGAAGGTATGCCTGAATCAAACCTCATTAATACACTGGCAGGATGATTCACACAAAGCCGGCCATGTCCCTGTCTTCTGTGTGAACAGTTTGGTTAATAACCGGATGACCTGTTTACAAACGAATCAGATTTTCAATACTATTTTTATGTAATCGATTTCAAATGAAATATTACAGGATAATCACCTCAAGTTCTAAACGACTCCACACATCCTCAGAAGCGGATTTATCCGGTCTAGATGTGACGTACTGGAATATTTTGAGAAAAGGACATGGATCTGGGGGGAAGAGGGAGGGTTCGTGTAAAATCATGCCAGCAGAAGATGATCAATGGAGCACTGAAAGATACTTACATTCATGTGAGCAGAGTTTAGTGGCCATGTCTTCATTATAGATGATAAACGACAGAAATCTCACAGACAGACGGACTATTCTGTAGGACGTCTCCTGAGTCAGACATTTAGACAACACTTGACTTGACATCACCACCTGGAGTCTACATTTGAGAAATGAGACAGCAGTTTAATTATTATCATCATTATTATTATTATTATGTACTTAAATAAAAAATGAAATAAACAAATACAAGTAATTACTATAATAATAATAGTAATATTTTAAAAAGAAAAGAAAACACTGGCTTTGTTTGAAATGGAATACTAGCTACTGTACTACATACTAGTATATACTAGCTGTCCCTCCAGAGGTCACATCTGTTGGTCTCATACGGCATCAAGGATGTCTAATTTTTGAAGTAATCATCATAAAATGAACTGTTATTCCATGCGAGGCATAAATTACTGTGATTTATTTCTTACTTTAGAATATAATAGTTGCTTTTCTGAAATAAGGCTGCCTCAATGACTCATGCAGATGACAAATGCATTCTTCGGAGGACTGAAACTTGTTCTGCAGACTGTTTTTCAAAATTGCATGTGAAATACAATACAGTATCAGTTTACAGCGTGCAACACGTCAAAGAGAAGGATGCCACATTATTGACTTCACTACATTGTTTCATTTGGCATGCTTACAGTTTTACTGCATAAAAAATTATGTTTCTATTTAATCCAATTTTGTCTAATATTACACAGTCTAGGCAAATAATCAAGATGGTATAAATTGTGACTGATATTACTTATGATCCATTTGTCATACTAAAAATGGATATAAATTGAGAACACTACATTGTAGAAGCTAATTCAATCCAAAACCAAAGAACTGAAATGAAATCTAGTGCTATTGTAATAGTTTCTCATTGGATATTTTGTTTTTAAATAGATATTATCTTAAACTAAAATGTAAACCATAAAAATAAAAAAAAACTTTCATTACTAAAAATAAAATAAGTATTAATTGAAATAATATAAAATCTATAGAAAAATCTAAACTTGTTTTAGGTAGTTACCAAAGCAACATTTCTCATTTTTGTTTAGCTTAATTTTAAGTACTCAAAAAATGAAAACTAAAACTAATAAATAGTAAATAATATATAATATAAAAAAAAAAAAACTATACAGACATCATAAAAAGCTAATAAAAATGACAAAAACACACAACAAAATTACTAAAACTTTAACTAAAATTAAACCTAAAACAGAAAACATAAAAATAAAATCTAATTTAAAATATTAACGAAAACTATAACAGTATATGAATGATACTAAACCTCAAGAGCTGGTTGTCCTGCGCTCTCTCGGCCAGCATACTAAGAGTCTTCAAGCTAGTGCTCACTAGCGCCTCCCTCTGGCCAGCGGCGGTAATGAAGGCAGGATCCGCCAGCTGTAGGATCCTCCTGAGAAGAGGCAGCTGTGTCTGCGTGTCCCCGTTCAGATGTTCAGAGGCGCTGAGGAGATGTTTCGAACCCTGCGGCCGCTTCACGTCCTCCTGATGGCACAAAACCACCTCCAGAGCCTCGCTGCTATAGCACACTATGTGATAGAGCGCTTTCAGGGCGGCCAGGGCAAACTCCTCCTGACCGCCGAGAGACTCCTCCAGACTCGAGGTCAGGCTGGAGTCGGACGAACCCGACAGTGAGCTGCCGTGGAGCGAGGTCTTTGCTGAGCTCTCCACTGTCTCCAGAGACTGGCAGTATGTGCTGATGTGGAAGGTGAGCAGGGGGAGGAAGTGTGCCGCGGCTGGACAGGAGCGCTGGGAGGGTTGGAGAGCAGCATCTGGGTTATGTGGGACACTGTCAGGGTGATGGAGAGCTAATGCGGTCAGAGCAGACATGGCCAGATTTTGCAGCTGGTGAAATCGAGCTTGAGGACGATGAAATGATCTGAGTTCTGTGGAGGACGAGCTGGAAGTCGACAACGATTCCCTGAAGAAAGAGGGGGGAAAAAAAACTCTTATTCACAATATTTCAGATATTGAAAGATGCAATAAAAGTAAAAATTGAAGAAATAGTTATACTATATACTACATGCTATAGTATAATATAATATGCTAATAGTTATTCAAACATGGGTGTTTTTTTAATTTTCACAAGTTTCCAGGCTTAAAAATCACAGGTTTTCCCTCATATTTCTAGGTTTTCATAGTTTTTACTTTAAGAAATTAATAAATTATTATGGTTGTTGTTAATAATAATGATAACAATAATATATTTTTTTATATTTAATTGTAATAATAAATAAAAAATATTTTACAAGTCATATATAGTTATCAACTCAATAGCTGAATAGGTATTACCAATACCATATTTAAATTAATAATAAAATACACTTTGAAAATGTAAAAAAGCAAATGCCATGATGTAAAATTATCACTAATAATAATAATAATTATTATTAACAATATATGTAATTTACTAATAAATAATAAAATAATATATTTTACCATTTTAAAAACGCAAAAAGCATATATCATGTAAAACCATAATTATAATTAATAATAAGAATGAACACAATCTTCTATATTTAGTTTAAAAATTAATGCAACAAATTGAATATTTAAAAAATGCAAAAAAAGCAAATACTGCTAATACTACTACCACTAGCAATAAAAAATAATAATAATACAACTACAATGTTATTACTGTTGTTATCAATTCAATATTCTACACTATTTAATAAATAATAAAATAAAAAATGTATAATATACATATAAAAAAATATATATATAAAAAAACCAGCAAATGTCAATTTAAAATGTCTTTTAAAAAAGACGTCTTTAAAAGCTTTTTTGTTTTCTTCTAAAATGAATGTGAAGCTGGTGTTCTTAATGAACCGTATATATTTGATCAACGGTTCAAAAGTTGACATTGCTCAAACGTTCCATTGGGAAATACCAATATTTACAAATGACGCAATGGAATTATTGTATGATTAATGTTGTAAAAGCGGGCCGATGATTTCTCAAAACAAACAGTTGTATGTAGTGGAAGCCAATGTTTACAGTAGGTTTCTCATGTTTCGGGACATTCAGGACACACACACACAAATAAAATCAGAAGTGTTATGTGTTTCATTCGGGTGCTCCTCCCAGTGGGCGGGGCTTGTTAAGGCTTACGGGCTGACGTAGCCGTGCTGTGACAGGACGTTTGGCAGAGCGTCAGGACTGATGGACAGCAGGTGACACAGACCCAAAGTGCTCGGATCCAGCGGCTGCTGCAGCAGCAGGTTCAGTAACACACACCCTACAGTGTAACAAACCACAACATCAACACAACACACTGAGATAACAGAAACAAGAAGATACATGCAAGACATCTGATCAGCGGTTACCTTCCTGTTGGTGATCGGCTCTGAGGGTTCGGTCCGATCGCGGCTCCTCTGCGAGGGAACGTTTGGACTGAGCTGGTTTACCATCTGACAGATTTTGAAAATGCAATATTAAGGGACTGAATGGCAATGTAAACCCATCTGCAGACAGGAAATGTGCATAAGCATAGAAGACAATAATTCATACCCTCTAATAAATGTGCTTTTTTAACAGGAGATGTTTTCTTGGAGAATTCGGCTGAGAAATGTTCTTTAGTCATGAACGCTCGACTCGCAGGAGAGTGAAGACTGTTAACACAACAACAACACCACACAAATCAACTCATATTTGTCTAGATCAGTTTTCAAGAAACTTCTAACCTGTCAATAAATAAACAAGGTATTAATAATAATTAATATGAATTGTAATATTATATATAAAAACAGTAATACCTATACTTTTAATAACAATAAGACTAGTAATTAATATTATTATTATAAAAATAAGCAATAGTAACACTTAATATTACACCGTTTAACAATAACATTTATATTTTTTTATATTATATTTAAAAGTATTATGTTTACTTATTTAAAAATAATAATAAATACAATAAGAATGATTATTATTACTACTATTATTCATGTTGTTATTAAAAATGAATTGTATTACTATCAATTTAATAATAATAACAATAAAATATTAATCAATAAAATTATTGCTTTTTATAATCACGTAATATATTTTTATTATTATTGAGAATAATATTAATACTACTAATACCATTGTTGTTATTATTAAATAAAATCATTGTTATTATTTATTATTTCTAATACTTGTTTTTTAATAATAATAATAATAATAATAAATATTTTTAGTATAGTATGATCACAATTAATATTTGCTGTTATGAAAAAATAATGAAGTATTACTATTACTTATTCTGTACAATAATTATTATAATAACAATTATTGATATTATTATTGAAATATTTAGTACCGTGTAATTGAATAAAACTTACTTAGTAACAAACAAACAACGTAACATGATGCACTGTGGAGTGCATGCAAAGAGACGTGTTTATATGAACAAAAAAAAGACATGCATAAATGAACAAAATGTTGTACCAGTCAGTGCAGACCACAGAACAACTGTCTCTCATTACCAGTTTCTCAAACAAAAAGGAATGCTGCATTTACATGTTTCGTGCAGGAGTGCCAGGCTGCTTTCCTCCGCGCTCAATGCTCTGAAGTTTCCCTCTCATTTCATTCATCTCGGCTTCTTTAAAGTGCAACTCTGACTGCAGCGACTGCACCTGCAGCGAAACAAGCATTTCGTTACACGCCATGAGCTCATACGAACCGATTCATCAGCCCAATCCTATCCAGGTCTGCGAGGCTGTCAGTCAAACTCGTGTGCCGTACCTTCCTGGACAGCTCCTTCTCGTGTTCGCTCCGAGCGTGAGCTTTCTCTTTCTCCAGGGCGAGCTGGCTCTGCCGCTGCTGCTCCTTCTCCTGGTTGGCCAGTTTCAGGGAGTCACGCAAGACTCGGATCTCTCCGTTCTTCATCAGGATCTCCTCCTCTACCTCCTTCAGCTGAGTGTGAACAGAAATGCAGACAAGAGTCATGAAAAACTAAAATGATGACTGTTTTAGTATGAAGGTATTTTTGGTGCAAAACAACTGAGTGACCGTGACAGCGGAATTTGTAGTTGTAGAGAATAGCCACACATGTGTATCAGTAAATCTGAAGTCACAGACAAAAGTTGCATACTTGTAGATATTTTTTTCTCTCCCACAAACACAACACAACAGTTACACGTTCTTGAATCCTTCACTGCAGGTGCATAAATCATATTCTACGAATCACAAATCAAGAAACTCGTACGCTCACAAGTTTTGCTACTATTGCTGCAGTGAATATGGTGCAAAACACATTCACACACCTGCATCAAAAATGTGAAGTCACAGACGAGTTTTGTGCATCCGCAAATCAGTTTGTGAATTCTTGCAATGAGATTGGCACGCTTGTAGAATGTTTTCTTACATATATATTTTTTTCTTGGATGCTTTTTCTAGCAAAGCTGTAACGGACACTCAGTTGTTTTGCACCAAAAATACCTTCATATTTTAGTGTCAGAATCATTGCCTAAAAAGTGGAATTCAGGAATAAATAGCTATAATGGGGCCTCTATGAGAGCAAATAAAAGTACTTTTCTGCAAACTACAATGAACCACCCAAATGAACGGCGTGTTGTGTTGAAGAACACACCTTTTTCTTCAGGTCTGCTTGCTGTTGCTCTAACTGCTTGTAGTACAGATCTTCTCCATCTTTACTGGAATGGCCATCTGTTGAGATAGACGCAAAATTACACATACATACTTGTTAAATTTCTAGTTTAACCCATCTAGAGCCCATACAATGCAAAAATGAAATAAGCAAAGAAATGTGGCAATAAGACTTTTTTTAAAATTCAATAATAATAATAATTATATATAAAAAACTTAATATTAAATAAAATAAAGTATTATTAAATTAAATCTCATTATCTCTTCGTAAACATAATTAAATCTTAATTATTATTATTAATATTATTACTATAAATCCACTGTGAGAGATCCAGATTTACACACACAAACTTAAATTTGTAGTTTAACCATTCCAGAGTCCCAACTAAGCAAAAATGAAATATGCAAAGAATTTAAACTCTGACTTTGAAAAATATTTCAAAGAATAATAATGATAATTATTAAAAACAATAATATTTAATTTGATAAGAATGAACATAATATTGATTTAAATAACAAAATTTTTTATATATTTTACTGGATTTTCTGATTTAAAATGTTTGTTATATTTGTTTTTGTTTGTTATTAAATTAAATAGGAATTATTACATTTAATCATATCTTCACATTTTATTTTATTTATCTTATATAGTTATTATTAATACTATAAATCCACTGAGATGCAAAATAAAACCATACACTGCACAAATGAAATAAATAATAACTTTTTATTATTATTATTGTTGTTATTACTATAAATCTGCTGTGAGAGACATAGCACACACAAACTTGTTAAATTTCTAGTTTAACCTATTCATATAATGCAGAAATGAGCTATGCAAAGAACAGTGGGAATATTACAAAAACGCTCGGTTCAAAAGCAGATGTGGCAGTGTTTGAGAAAGGACTTGTGGAATGTGAATCCAAAGTGTCTTATACTAACCAAACACATCTTTTCTTTGAGGTTCTTTATCCTTATACGTGTTGCTGCCGCTGCAGCCATCTCCGATGGCAAATGTTTTCCGGCCGGATCTCACAGATGCTTCGCTTCGCTCATCAGCGCAAGTGAACACAGAAGCGAACGTTCTCTTTGACCCACTGTTCTGGCCGTCTCCTGTGATGGCCTGGGACGCGATGGTGTCAATCTGCTCCAGGTCATCCTGCGTGAAATCAATGTCATCGTCAAACGGGTCGGGTTCAGCTGTGACCTGATGACCTTTCTGTCTCTTGCTTGGTGGGAAGTCCATGACAAAGAGAAGCTCTGGGAAATAAATAAAAAAATATATACATACACTATTCAATGTGGGACAAACATACATATATATACATAAACAGAAAGGGGGCAAAAACCTTTTCACACCACTGTATATATATACACACACATACATATACACACACATACATATATATACACATACATACACACATACATATATATATACACATACATACACACATACATATATATATACACATACATA